GAGCAGTGGGGTTTGAGCAAGGAATGCCATGGTGCTGCTACTAATTATGGCCAGATTTCAATGAGATTTCAGTGATAGCCCTTAGGGATTGGATTTTTTTCCATCCAGAAGGTAGCAGCTGAGGAGGAAAGAGGAGCACAGGAACTGGATTGGGCCTTGATTTCTTGTGAAATACCCATATGTTTTCTTTAAGGTCTCAGTGAGATTTTTAACATTGGTCAACTAGACCAACTGCCGTGCTTCAGTCTTCTTGAAGGTAAAGGAGAAAAATACAGAAATTCCAGCGATTTCCAGACTGTGTGAACTGTGCTTTAGGCTGTGTTGTGAAAATTAAATTGGAGAGCTGGGGATAATAAATGCTAGATAATGTTTCCAGAAAATACATAAAGATTATTTCTGATGTCTACACTCTACCCTCCAAACCCCAAGACATCTATTATCCACCAGCATTGCACATAGGAAACCTTTAAAGTTGGCTAAGTTTGGTTTATTGAACTGAACAGAACTGAACATTTTGCTCTTAAACCCTTTTTTTTTCTGGCCTCATGAGACTTCAAGATAGATTACTATCCCTGACTTGTCCTTCCCACCCTCTTGGCAGGACTCTGTCTCCCAGGATGCCGTAGGGACTAGATGGTGGCATCCATCCTGCAGGTCAAGCACTGATCCGACTGTTGATGATAGGTTCAACTGCAGTAAATATCCTGTGGTCTCTTTTCCCTAGGGAAAAGCGGGGACCGGACCTTCACTTTCTGTCTGTTCTTTGTCCAACGTTTACTTCTGCTCCCAGCTTACAGGTCACATCCTTCTGTCATGTTCTTGAGTCAATTTTGCACAACAGGTTTTCTGCCCTATTTCCTCTCCATGTCCAGATGTCTTGGTTAGCCTAGGATTGCTCAAATGGCATGAAACATCCATATTCAGGCAACATTTTTTTTTCTCTAGATCTCCATAATGGAGTTTAAACATCTGTCTCATACACAGACACCTTATTGGAATGGAGAAGTCTTAAGCTGTGAGCTGATTCCCGCTGAAGGTACCTAGGAAAAGCAAACCTACTTGTCAGTGGCCTTAATGTCACCATGCATGATGTATAACTGCATGGAGGGACATTCAGAGGTCTGAAAGTGGAAAATAAATTGAAACCTTTGCACAAGATGGGTGAAGTTTCTTGGGAAATCTCTGGGCAACTCCCAGCCCCAGCTACAGGCCTGTCCTCTGTGGAAAGATCTTAAAACTCGGTCTATTGAGGAGATGGTTTCCAGTTTCTGAGCGGTGTTCAGTGACAGAAATTTCCCTGCAGGAACTGGCACACTGCAGTGGCAAACTGGCGTGACCTCACCGATTTAATGTGCATTGGAGACTAACCTTGAGCCTTCCATATTTTTTCTTATTTAAGCCTACGGGGAGAGAAATTAATGATGTAACTGTGGCATGGATGGGCTACCCAGCACGCAGGTGAAGGGGAAATACAAATGGCTGTACAATTCAGAGCCTGGGTCCTTCTAGCTGAGTCCCTGCTCTCTGATGATGGGAACTTTGACAGAGATAGGGGGAAAGAAAAAGCCTGTATTGAAATATCCCTTAAAATGTTGTCCCAGCTGACAAAAATGGCTGCCTCAGGGACTTGTCAGCTCAGAGATTCTATCAGTGTTTCCAACAACCCTTGATGAAGGGTCATGAAGACACCTAATTGCTCTTCTAACCGCTATAGACATTTGGCAGATGCAATATCTCGTGGTGGTGAGTTCCACCACCTAAATATGTGCCATGTGAAGAATTACCTTGTTTTGTTCATTTTGATAGTTGGGTTTGATGTAATTGAGTTCTTGTATTATGAGAAACAGTGAACAATCATCCGCTATTTGTCTTCTCCCTGAACTCCTGATTTTATAGACCTCCAGTGTGTTCTTCCTCAGTCATCTCTGTTTCCCACAAAAATGTCCTTTGATTTAATTGTTCTTTGGATGAAAATTATCCCATATCTTTCATCATCTCTGTTAGACTTTACTGAACACTTTCTAAATCCATTCTATCTTTTTTAGGCTGGGCTAATCAGAAAAGCAAACAGTAGTCAAATTACACATAAACCATAGATTTATTCAGAGTTGCAAAGATATTTTCAAGGTTATTCTTCATCTCTTCCATTCTCCATTTCTTTCCTAAAATTCCCTAAAATGCAACTTTTGGCTGTTACTGCTGTCAAATATTGATCCAATGTTTTCATATGATAACCCCTTTTGATTTTCCCTTTTGCCTGTCCCTTTCCTGTCTCGGATACATATCACATATATGTCTCATATATCCCAACAAAGCCTCAGAAGCATTTTCAGTAAGGTCTTGCAAGTGTTGTGCTGTCCCTGTCAGATATCCCCGTTGAGATTCCCATCTTGTGATGTGCCAGGCTCAGGGTGTGCAGAAAATCCCAGAGGAGGGTGCTGGGGCGGGACCACCTGGGTTTTCAGGATGAAAGCTTCATAGATGGTGTCAGGGGAACAGACCTTTGGGACTTAAATAGGCAAAACAGCTGGGCAGGATAGAGGAAGGAAGACAGAATTATCCGGGTGAGATGACATGTCAACTGTAGGGCTAACCAGGTCTGAATAAAACTACTGGAGGAAACAAAGAGAGACCTGGATGAGGTGAGATGAGAAAGCAGAAACTGCCTGGGGGGTGTCCAGACATCCCCTGAAATGGGGATGCAGAAATGGAGTAGCCAAATACATCCAGCTGCTAAAAATGCTCTTTGCTTCCTAAAGAAGTGATTGGCTTTTTGCAGTGTCTCTAGCTAGCTTCTTTAGCTACCGTGTGTCACTGGTAAGATAATTCCCAGGCTATTTGTTAGGCTGGAGTGGGATCTGGAAGAGAATATCCTTAATCTTTTGGGGAGCCTCGGTGGTCAGGCACAGATCACAGGGCCTACTGAAATCCATTGCCTTCTCTGGCCTCAGAAATGGTGCTAAACAAAGAAGCCATCCCCAAAAGTATACTGATGCTCCAACCACCAAGGCAGTGTCCAGGCTCTGCCCAGGTTTAGCTCCGGTGCACGGGGACCCAAATGCTGAGTCTCATATGCTGACAAGTTCATCACAGAGTCGAGAGCAACCCAAATACCAAGTGGAGGTTTCCCCCAAACCTCAGTAAAAGTTAAAAAATGAAAATAAAAATAGTGATGAACTTCGTTGGGCAGTTATCAGCAGGCTTTTAGGGGAGCACCTTATCTCACTGCAATCGAAGAACACATGGTCCGCATAACTGCACTTTGGATCACGGCTAGCAGTAGGAAGGTGCTTTGCAAATCACCTGCTCACTGGTGGCCCCCCAGAGCAGAATAAAGCCTCTTCTGCAGCTGGAGGTTGTCTTGCCATGGGGAAGGGACACCAAGGCCTTAGGTGAGAAAAGGGAACAGACCCCCTCCCAGGACTGAGGTGCCCCAGCACTCTTCCCCTTCTGAGTGGATCTGCTCTGCCCGGGCAATGCCCACCCAGCACATGGAAAGCCTGAGGAGTAATAGCCCAGATTTTGGTGGGCAGGAGGTACAGATTTGGGGATGCATGGGGCAAGGTAGAGAAGGATGCACTGGGAGTTGCACAGGTCACATACGTGAGGCTGTGTTAAGAGATGCACGGTCTTTTAAGGGCTTCTGTGGGATGAGATTGCTGAGCCAGACCAGCACCATCCCGGGCTCTGACAGACACCAGGAGAGTGTGGCCCTGGACTCTGACCCTGTCTGCATAGCTCGGGCTATACAATGTTCTTAATGGATTAAACTTGGGGTGAGGAAGGATGCCAGAAGCAACATGCCCAGCCCAGCCCTGTGGCTCCAAAGGCTCATCCAGTCCTCATGGCCATGGCATGGCTCGCTCTTCTTGGAGAAATCAACAGCAAAGCACCTAATGCTTTCTTCCTGGGAGCCAAGCAGGGCAGCAGCCTGGCTTGACAGTCATACAGAAGGGAAAGAAATCCCTTCCAAAAATGTGAGCAGCATCAATCAAGAGCATCCTTTGCTGTGGCCTCGCCAGGGGACACAGCATCCACCCTGCCCTTCCCCAACATCAGTCTGACTGAACCACACAGAAGCATTAGCAACACACAGAGTGAAGTTGTGACAATCTTTCCCTGGAGCTGCTCTTGGTGGTGGCTCGCTCCTCCGCCTGGAGCCATGCCTGAAGGACAGCCAGTCTTGGGCCACGTTTGGTCATTTGCATGGTAAAGACATATTTCTAGAAAACTTACTGGATGTTTTCAGAGCTCTGTTTTTCCCTTCACCGCATTTCAGACTCTGCTGTATGATATGACTCTAGTGTCCTAGACGTGAGGCAGGTGTTTTGTCTTCTTTTGGTGTTTTCCTCTTTGTGCTTTCCAGCTCAGAGTCCTTCCCACGATCCCCATCCCTGAGACACCAGTGCCCAGTGCCTAGAGGTGAAACCAGGCTGCATTTTATGAAATGGAGTACCTGGAGTGAGACGGGAGCATGAGAAATGCTATTTTCATTTCACCACGGGTAGTGGGTTCGTGAGTGATGCCGGAATTTTAACTTTAGAAGAAAAATGAAAATTTTCCAGAGAAACCTTCAACAAGCTAAAATTTCAGTTTTGATTTAAAAGCTCTACTCTGATGGAAATACTTATACTACTCTAAAAGCTGGCAGAGGAACCAGAGCTTGTTCCTGGCCACCAACTACACAACAGCCTTCCCAGCTCCTGCCCTTCTCCTTACCCATGGGTCATGGCTGAATCCAGCTTCCTTCTGCTCCAGGGATCACCTCAGAAGAGACACTGCTGGTGGAATCCCTTCATCCCTGCATGGCACAAAGCTGAAAGTGTCCTCTTCTGACTTATTTTTATCATAAATTCTTGCATGTGGGAGCGATTATCCTTGTGAAATCACAAAAAGTCTTTGTGAAAAAAAAAAAAGGTGGATAATTTGCAGGTTTTTCCTCCTTCCTCCCTCCTCCCTTACACCCTGTTTTAAAAAATCACACCGCAACAATTCACAGCAACGTTTTAGACAGGTTTGTGCATGTATTTGGTACAAACAAACAAAAATATGTGCATTCTGTTTCATAGAGCTTACATCAATCTGACAGAACTGGAATCACAAAATGGAAATACTCTGGCTAATAAATACATCTGGGGATGAAAAATAAAAATCTATACATAAAAAATTCCAATGTCTGCTAAAGAAAATGTACACTTATATACACACTGTAAACAATAGTAATGCAACCCAACTGCAGTCCAGCTCAGGCTGACAGGGACCTTCCTTCCCCCTTAAAAAGGGGTTGTGAGAGTCTACTGACATAAAAGCTGCTGGTCACCATCCTCAACACTTGGTTTGTTGAAGCAGCAAGGTCCGACAATGCAATAGAGACACGAAGCCAGTGCAATGAGGCGAGAGCTGCTGGATAGCCAAGGTATGGGTACTTTGAGAAATGGCAAATTTGGAGAAACGGGGCCATACCCTCAGCTGGTCACGCCCTTGTGGGTCCAGAGAAGTCAGTGGGATCGGGACAAATTTACCTCCTGAAGGTCTGAGCTCGTTTTTCCAAACTTGGGAGAGCTTGAAGATTAAGGGAATCAAAGAGAAATGCACAATTTTAAATACTCAGGTCATATTTCATACAACATTGTTCTTCCTTGCCTGCCAGCAAAGGCAGCCCTGTCTGCTCTAAATGAAGCTCTACACGAACAGACTCAGAGTCCAGTCCTGGCTTTGCTTATTTTGATGCAAGATGCTGTATGAAACGGGGGGCTCTGGCTTAGGTGATAAACAAGTATTTTTGCCTGAATGCAGCACAGCAGAGCTCAAGACTTTGCTACAGCATCTGTTAGGGTAACTCTCAGGGCCAGATCAAATGCAGTAAGTAAACGAGCTAGAGTTTGGGCACTTATGTGTGTATGTGCATACATACGCTTAAACAGACTTTATTCTCATTTTCTCCCCTGTAGGTCTGTAAAGAATTGGGATGGAGAGGCAGTAAACCTCCAGACTAATATTTGTTTCCCTTCTGGATGCTGTCAAGGGGCTAGAGGCTGTAAATGTAAATATTTCAAAATTGCAAAAAAAAAAGAAAGAAGTGTATTTAAAAGATCATGGGCAAGTGTAAGCAACACTGTCAACTCGTTTGTGGGAAAGATCTGCTTGTCAGCAATTGCTAAAAGCCCCTGCAAAGTCTCCATTTATAGCAGAATGTCTGCTAATTTTGGAGATGACACATATTTATAAACATAGTAAAGTGTGTATCTGTATCTGTATGGTCATGGATGCACACGTTACCATGTGCTATGGGTGTCTGGCCATGGAAAGACACTAAATAAATCTGCTCCTAAGCATCAGAGAGCATTTAGCGGCAAATGGCCGTCTTTCCCCTTAACTAGACTTTCCCTTCTGATGATATCTGTATCAGCTCATCCTAAACTGTGTCCCCAAACTGCTTACATTACGCATGTGCATGTGTTAGACCTGCAATGCAGGGTCCAAAAATGCAGATCTGGGGGCATTTACTCCCTCTGACAGTGGCATGTGTGTGTACCTGGCATCCTGAGAAGTGGGTGGAAGGTGGGAGAAGTAATGCTTCCACCTTGACCTTCCACTCATCTCTGCTCTTCCGCAACAGCCCTCTCCCTGATGCCTTCTTTGCGATGTCCCCAGTGCCACCAGTGTGCTCTCCCATCAGGATCCCTCAAAACCCCAAGAAACCAGTGGCAGATGCAGTCTTTACACTGCAAAATGACTTTCTCTGTCACCCCATTAGCACTGTAGGGTCTGACTTCCCAAAAAAAAAAAAAAAAAAAGGACAGACTTATTTTTCCACAGAGGTTCCCATGGGGTATTAGGCCTTTGCTTTGGTAGGGTTGAGCCTCTCAAGCTGGCAACATCTGGATGATTGTGCAGACACTGGAGGACATGCGGGCAATAATGAGTCTGGGTTCAGTGAAAGTGCAATGCTGCCTATGTGCCTTGGTGGGATTTGCTGCTGGGAGGAAAATGTTTGGACAAAATCTGCAGGTCTTTGCGCAGTAATTTGTCCAGTTTGGAGTCTTGTATTGAATAAAGGGCAGAAAGGTGTTAAGGGTGTCGAGATAGGGCCAACTCCAGATATATTGTCTCAGTACAAAAAAAGTAAAAAATAAAAGAAGTCCAACTTTTCCTCTGTTCTGATAACCTTTAAAGCAAATGATCAGCAGAAATAAAGGTGACATTCTCTTTGCTATGCGTAGAAGCCTTTCATCTTCCTTTGATAGCCACCCTTAAGAGGATTAGCTAGATGTGCTGTAGGCACATTCATGAAAGACTCTTAATGGGTTTGGGGGACAGTGCTGATGTGGATGAGTTGCCATCCAGGACACATTCAGTGTCATGCTTAAACTCCTTGAGTTCCTGTTCCCGTCAGCTGGCTTGAGACACTGCACCTCAGATCCAGACTTTGCTTTTGTTGCCTACGTGTCTCCTGCCTCTGCTCTCACAGCCCAATCTGATGGTCAGTCTCTGTGGCTCACTGTCCTACCTGAAATTTGATAGTACCAGTGCATGCAATACATGGCCAAGTCGAGTCTGAGTGACCATTTTCTGAGTTGCAATTCATGATTTGTGTGAGCCTGGCTGAGGTGGGTCTGTCATGACTCCAACCTCCCCGAGGTCCCCGGAGAAGGCCGTGGTGCCATCCTGAAGGAAGTTCACGCTCTGGGGCTGTGATCAGGGCAAACCCCCCCATATTGACATTGCTTTTGACCATGCTTCCAGACATAACAAAGGCCAATTGTTGATAGCCATGAAAGGCTTTGATGTATCAAGTACATGGGAAACCACTTGGGAGAAGAGTCATGGGCATGCCCCTGACTGGGGAGGGAGCTCCATGAGGGAACTCCAACTGCACATCAGCTCCATTTTAGCTTTGACTCTATAGGTAGTAGAAACGTGCCCCGAACTCCGCTATCCCACCTTTCCTGAGCCACATGCAGGTTGGCTATGGACCTGAGCGGAGCCCTTAGGACACATCTTTATCCCGTGTTGTTTGAAAGAGACAACAACAAGAACAAGAAGTGACCGACACCAAAAGAAGCTGCTTTCTCCCTGTGTCACAGATGGATCTGCACTAGAACAAGGTGGGTTGCAAGTGTTTCACTGGAAAGTGAAATAAGAAATGCATCACAGGTTGGAATTAGAGAAGAGAGACCCACACACCCATTGGCATCAGGGTACACGTTTGGGCTTCTTCTCTGGCCTAAACCCAGGTTATGTGGAAGGGGCAAAGCCGTGGTCACTGCAGACACGATGGCTGAGAGCTAGGGTCCCCCACCCTGTTTGGGAATACCACAGTCTGCTTTCCCTCCAAAGCAAAGGCCTTGGCTGGAGGTCCTGTCCAGCCCTACAAGTTTCCAACCCATTACCTAAAGGATCAACTGCCGACTGCTGCTTGACAGAGTCCTCTCTGGGTGCTGCCTCTGGATGGAAACATGATCACATGTACTAAGGCAGGGTTGGCATCTTTTGGGGTTTGAGCTTTCCATTAGATTTATGGTGGTGTTTTTAAGGCAAAGGAGACATCCTGGTTTCCCTTAATTGCACAGCTTCTTCCAAAGTCAAAGATAACCATCCATTGGAGGAAACAGCTCTTGTCCTAAGGCCATATCCACCCCACAGCTTCCCCTCCTGCTGAGTCTCATTAAGATGGGATAATGCCATTGATTCTTATTTGAGGAACCCATAATCCCACAGAAGGGGCTGACCTCCTTGTGGGGCATGCTTGTATAACCTTTGGGCAACTGCATTTTATACCTGATTGCTGCTTCCAGTCTGCCTGACAGACCCACAGATGGTATCCCTTCACGTTTCTGCTAGATACATCTAAAGAAACCATCAACTGCTCTCCCAGTGGCTTCAAATATCTGTTTCTCTCAACCCGCAGCAGTCTGTTAAGTCATAGGTTTGGTAGTCGATGGTTTCCGTGAAGTCATGAGGGATCCCGATAGAGACAGACTCCACCTCTGGTTTGTAGGTGGCTGTCACCCCCCCTTTGCTGGAGCCACCCCGGATTTTGTTAGAAAGGCTGTTCATCTTCTCCTTCAGCTGAGTGGATGCTGGTTTCTGAAAAGGGGTGAGCATTTTCCAGCCCTTGAAGCTGACTGTTCGCCTCTTACCGGCTCTCTCCTGCAAGGAGGAGTTAAATATGAACGAGCTGTTCAGGGTGTTAATCCTGGGCCTCAGGTCCGTCTCAGAGTCTTGCACCGAGCTGTTCATGGAGGCCCCTCGCCAGTGGTGGTCATAAACACGCCAAATGGGCCGCCTCCTCCGGTGGCATTGGCACTTGAGCAGCCTGATGAAAGCTCGTTTGAACTCTTTGCTGGAGCACGGGTAGATGATGGGGTTCACACAGCTGTTGAAGTATCCCAGCCAGAAGATAACTTTGAAGACAATTTCCGAGGGCTTCAGAGATGGGAAGAAAGAACCTTGGAAGAGATTAAAAGAAATACGGTTAGAGGAAGGGGAAGGGTATGACAGCGCAGGGTAGCAAGAGTGGTGGTCAACCCAGTCTGGAAGAGGTGGGACCTGCAGAGAAGGCTGAAGGTGTGATTCTGCTATTAGGTCCTTGACTAACCATGTTGTTGCCACCAAAATGAAGATCTGGCCACTGCAGGACTGCAAAGCATCAACCCTAAAGTGATAATGATGGATAATACTATGTCTTTGGCAGGACCTTCTTAACCCCCACTGCAGAAAGGCTCCCATCAATGGTCCCAGCACCCTCAAACACAGTTGTGAGCCACCGTGGCAAGCCCATACAGCTTGGAGGGAGGCTGTTAAATGTTGCAGGAGCCACACAGGTATGAGGGCTTATGAGGATGGAAGATTTTTCTCACACCTCTCTCCAGAAGATAGATAACCATCCAGCTCCCCGCCCCGCCCCCCCCCCCCC